GAAGATTATATTTGAATTTTATTGGCAATTCTTAGCAAAACAGGGCTGGCCTGATCAGGGCCTCTTACTCCATGGCGGGAAGTTGGCTGTTTGAGGCCCCAAGCGACTCCCCCTCAGCAGCCCTGACCGCAGGCCTGTGGGGTCCTCCGAGCGCCGTCCCCAGGGAGGCTGCGACGGAAGGGACGGCTTCGGCCTCAGAGCAGCCTGCACGCCTTCTCGCTCACCCGCCTGCAGGCCATGCGGCTCAGCCCAGAGGCCGCGGTGGGGCAGTGGCTCAGTAACTCACCCTTTCTGATCTGGGGGTGCCTGAGGATGGGAAGCAGGGTGCCCAGGGCTGGCTGGGAAGGCACAGAGCGGGTGGGACCCCGCCTGGCCACCGCCCTGGCGCGATCCCTGTCCCCGCCCGGCCAGCCTGGCCCGTGGCAGCCGCTTAGCGAACCGGGCTCTCTTTTCTTCCAAGCGTGAGCTACAAATGCAAGTCAGAGCGCAGGCACATGCCTGTGTCCAGGCTCCCAGGGTGACCCTCCACCGCACGGCGGGCTGAAAGGCCGTGGGGGCGCCGCCCTGCTCCTCCCCACACTCGGCCCTGGACCTCCGGCTGTCGCACCTGTCTCGCCGGCCTTCTGCGGCCCCGAGGCCGTCCAGCGCGCTGAGGCTGCCGCCGCACGTCCTCAGCTCCTCCCGAGCTGGCTCCTCCGGGCCTGCAGCGTCGCAGTGCGTGGTCCGCACGGCCTGCATCTGCTCGCGATGACCCGCACGCTCTGCCTCCCTCGCTGTGTGCCCCATGGAGGTGGGAGCGATGACCCGGTCAGCCGGATCCGCTTCACGGAGGCGCGGAGCCCGCTCCTGCGCCCGGTGCTGCCGCCGAAGTGCTCTGTGCTACGCGCAAGGTGGGGCTCGGGGAGAAACGCGGGCGCGGAGCTGCTGTGGGTGCGTCTTCGTTCCCACCCCGGCTCGTGGCTCGGTGGCTCCCGCCTCCTGGGATCTGCCGTCCCCACCGTGCCCCAGCCTTGGCCAGCCGCCTCCCGTGGACACACCTTCCTCCCTCCTGTTCCAGTCCAGGCATCCGCTTGTGTCCCGGCACCGGGCTGTGGACGGCGCCCTCCCTGCTGTTTGCCCGGACTGGCCACAGCGTGCTCGGTGACCGCCACCTCCCCCAGTCGCCAGCCTGCACGGCGAAGCAGAGTCCTCCGTGGGACTCCTGGCCGTGGCTCTGTGGCGTGGGCCTGGCACGCCATTCCCACAGCATGAACCCGGGAGCTGGCGGTGTCCAGGCCTCCGCAGGGGCGGGGTGCCCACCCGGAGGACCCCGCGCCCTGCGCAGGGCAAGCTGCGCCCTGCCTACCCTCCGGGGCCTACCAGCGCGACTTCTTCCTTTTTTCTTTCATTTTTCTTGGCTTTTTTTCTAAGAGATTTTTCCATACACACAAATATGCCGTGAAAGAAGCTTTTATGTCTTTCTTACTCTATACAAATTCTTAGAAGTTTGGTGGTAAGTTACGACTGTGATTAAAGCTTCCTCTTTGCTTGCTTTTATTTATGGAAGATTCCCGAGTCCAATTTTTCCTGCCATACTCTGCATAGCCACTCTGCACATTTATTACATTACATAAAGCTTCTCCAAGCTTTATGCCTTGCTAATGGTGTGCCTCACTTCCGGCAGCTGGAATTGTAGGTGCTGTCTACCTTCACAGCCTCCGGATACTATGCGAGTTTGTACGGTTTATGTAAGCGGGAGGGGTAACTCCTGGTCTACCTGATCTCCAGTACTTGCATGATCTAGCGTTCTTAGTGTCCAGAGGGCCCCTGTATCTGCATACTATGGCTATGGATACACAGAACCGTGTGTGTGCACGTGTGCGTGCAGTCTGGCACACTTATCTTGGGACCCAGGGTCTCTGGGTCCCCGTCTCTGCACATGGGTCCCTGACCGGGCCTTGTCCTGGGTGAGCCTGGCAGTCCTTCTGCGGCGCCACCCGCTCGAGGTAGAGCTGCTGCCCACACCCAGAGGGCGCTAGGGTACGACCAGAAACTCTGTAGGCTGCAAACTTCAGGATAAAGCAGGGTCGCCGCTCTACAACAGTGACACAGATTACAGAGCAAGCGAGTGACACGTGTTGAAGTCCACACATCCGCCTTTGGCCTGAATGGGCTGTGTCCCACACCTCTGTCCTGTGAGCCGATGCATGATTGCGTGTTCCCACACCACCACTGAAAGCTGCACATATCGAGAATGTTCTGGAAAAAATGCATCCCCTCTGAGCAAGAGCTAATAGATACCGTCTAATAGAAAAGTCGTCACATTCTTCTAACCAGCCCAGCTTTTTCCTGGTGTAAATTTGAGAGTGTTTTTTATTGTACTAGCAAAATATTCATATTTTTCACTAAATTCAGACTAAATTTTACACAGAATTATTATACTGCAGTTGAGAAAACTAATTAAATGTTTCATTTTGTAAATGTACCAAGCTACTTGAATCTTTGTTGCCAACATTAAAAATTCAGAGGATTGATGGCTACATAAATTCTGAGAGTCATTCATATCTTAGGAGTTTAATACAATTTCGCCAGCATGGTGTACCATTAAGAAGAAATCATTTGAGTGAAAGTCAGAGTAGTTTCAAATATATTTTGAGTTTGATATTATAATCTCTTCGGCTAAAATTTGGCAGGATATAATTATAGTTTACATGAAATATGTACTTTATATGATTACACATCACGGGAGAAGAGTGGGAGCACACGAGACAGCACACACCAGGCACGTGGATTTTAACAGTGACGTTCACCCACATCCAGCCCGGGTGGGGGCAAGGCCTTGGGGGGTTCCTCCCAAGGGGCCCACGCGTGCACTGCCTTGCTGTTTCCCACTCGGCCCCGCTCTCCTCCGCGTGACCTCGGCAAGTCTGCGACGCTGGTGGGGGAGCGCAGGGCCCCCAAGAGACCGTCGTGTGGTGGGCGGAGCTCACTGCCTGTGAGGGGGCATGGCCTCGGCTCACCCCATCCGTAGTCCCTCTGGGTGCGTCGGGAAGCATGGGCTTCCTCTAAGGAAGGAGGGCTTGCGCTCTCTGAAGGGCAAGGGCTGGGGAGCCAACAGCCGCGCTGACCAAGAGTGAAGGGAGCTTGAAGCGAAGCCCAAGGGAGGCAACTGCCTCATGGCGCTGCGTCCTGTGGCCGGGAAAGCTGTTCCCTGCGGCCGGTCGCTGCCTCAGGAGACCCAGTCCCCTGCCCACCCCTACCCCAACAATCTGCCTTGAATTAATTGCCGTTCAAATACGTAATTTGAAGATGTCTGCTTTGGTGAGTTCTCTCTTTCGCATGCAGAGGGGATCTAAATCCTTCTACAGTCGATGTTGGAAAGCAAGCACAGCCTTAAGTTCTGTAGCAGTAGAACCGGAGCAGTTATCGCTTGCACGGCTCAGCCAGAATGCAGCGTCTGTGAAGTTCCTGCCATAACTCCAGGCCTTAGCTTGCCGAGCCCCTGCCAGGGTGTGGCTTCTGCGAGGGTGTGGTCACCCTGCACGCGCAGGGCAGGTTGGGCGTGGCTGCATTTGTGGGTGGAGCAGGATCTGGCAGGCCACTAAGGCAGGCAGAGGTGAGCACATCCAGCGACATCCGTGTGTGTCGCGCCTCCGCTCCTGAACCAGGTCCAGGTCACAAACCAAGTACACTTTTAATACAAGAGGAAAAACTTCCACATGTTAGAAAATCCTTCTAAAGAAATACCAAGTGATCGATGAT